CTGAAGGAAAGACCTGAAAATAGTGCTGTGAGGGGACACATAATGAGTGATTTAATGAAGTGGTTAAACCCACTGTAGAACACAAACTGTTTTTAACTGGAAACGTTGGACAGTTTAATCTTTCTCTCAGATGTTCTGAGGAAATCAAATAGCCCGTTGTATAAGAAGCAGCTGGGACAAGGGGAGAATGGCCCTTATATCAGTGCTCTGTGAGAGGTCAATGACAATTTTAATTGATGCTATTTCAGTTCCTGTGGTGTGGTGGGAACTAGAATAGCAATATCTGAACTGCTCCTTCTTAGAAATATGGAGACTTTAGCCAGGAGAACCTGCAGCTTAGAATCAAGCACAAAGATTAGATGAGATGTGCAGATACAAGTTAAAGACTGTTTGGGGGCACATCCCATTCCACTGTGTTCTGAAAAACCCAGGCAGTGGCAACATTCACTTGTTTTCAGAGACACAGGTAACAGCGAGGCACAAAACCCAGTGTACAGTTTTAGAAAAAAAAATCATGAACAACAATAACTTTAAAAGCTTTTCTTGATTTTTCAGACTTTGCAGGGCCATTTTATGCCGTACTGGAGTGATACTCCCTTCAGCTGAAGAAAAGATGAGCTAAACAGCTGCATCTTATTTCCAAGTCTGAACACCTTTTGCTTTCCCCCCCCAGCCCCGTGGTGCTTTCTAGGTTTTAGGTGTAATCCTTCCAAAACACATTAATCACATTAAAGGTTTAATCATAGTAATGGGTTTGCTCATTGCTATTATTATGCATTCAAATGTCTTTTCAGCTTTTATCTGTGGGTGGGTTTTTTTGCTTAATAGTCATTTGAGGGTGAATTCTTAGTCTATAAGGAGTTTAATCTGAGGGATATTCATAAATGCAGAGATGTATTATTATTCAATAAATAAGTACATGGCTCTTTCAGAATATTGCCTAACTTAGGGTAGCACCTTCCTATTTTGATATCTTTATACAATTGGCACAAGCAGAGTGGAAGGTCAGGCTGGAGAGTCAGTCCTGGTCACACTCAAAGCACTGTAACAACTGCCTCGTGATTTATCTTGCACCAGATTTTAGTCCTCTTGCCTTCAGGTACCCACAAACCACTGCATTTTATTGCAGTAACACTCACATGCACAGCTCTGAGAGAAAAACAGGTCCCCAGAAATAAGTTTGGAATGAGAAGGGAGAGTAGAGAAAATGTAGGCTTAGTTGTGTATCTAAAGTAGCAGGACTGAGTCAAACTACAGATATTCAGTGCAGCAAGGGAACTTGAAATTAGAATTTTTTGGTTTGTTTTCTGCCTCATCTGGTTTTCTGCTTGTAAGGAAGAGTTTCTGCCCTTTCCTTTCTTCTGCTTTCCTTTCAAGTAAGAGAACTGAATCAAACTATTCATACATTCAGTGCAGCAAGGGAACCTGAAATTACATTTTTCACCGTTTCTCTGCCTCATCTATTCTTGGGCTAGAAAAGGAGGTTTCTTGCCCTTTCCTTTTTGTCTTCGTCTGCCACAATTTCTGTGTACTGGGCTCTTGATTCCTCTCACTCTTTTCTCCCTCTTGCATCTGGCCACAGGCCACTTGTTCAAGAGCTCGGGGATGCAGATTCCATTTTGTTGTGCCTGTTTCCTCTCTTTCCAGCTGCTGCTGACTGACAGTGCTTGGCTTGTCCCCCCTCCTGGGGCCTGCCCAGCCCTCAGGGCAGCCTCTGTGCACTTCCCACCTTTCCCACTCACTGGGGAGCCCCAAAACTCACACAGGCACCCCCCATTCTCTCTCGCATTAATCCCGTGGGATCCTTACCCAGGCATTGCCAAAGCCCGGACCCGCCTATCCTGAGCCGTGCCATGTGATGTTGGCCCAGGTGCCATGGCTCCAAACACTTATCCCACACACGGGTGTGTTGGCAAAGCTCAGGGAGGACTTCAAACCCACCCATGGTGTGCTGACACGCCACAGAACAGGTGGGATTAAATTGTTCCGTGTGTCGTGCCAGGAATAAGGGTGCTCTGAACCGTCCTGCTGGGGTGGCAGCACGTGGCCAGGCAGTGCCTCCAGCTGCCAGGCTGTGGGCAGTGTGAGGGACAGAGCTTTGAGGGACAGAACTTTCGGCCACCCCTCCTGGCAGAGGTATTTATAACCCCACGGAGCCTCAGGGGCTGCCTGTGGGACTGTGGGTTCCTTGGGCTGCTAAATCAGGGATTAAGGGGGCTTTGCTTTAGGAGCTTACAGCTGGGGAGAACTCACAGCAGAGCGTGCAGCCACCTCTAATACAACACACACTGCCTGAGACTACGGTTAGTACTGCAGGATGTTGTTCCTGACTCGCTGAAGTTCAGTTTTCACTCTTTTTTTCTCAATGCACGTGTACCTTCCCTTGCTTGTTCTAGATCTCTCAACTCCCAAACATCTGCAGGAGCAAACAGCTCCCCAGGAATGGCAGGTGACAAGCTGAGTGCTCTTTTTCCACTGCCCCATCTGGTCTGTTGTAGCCTCAGTTTTCCAAAACACCCCTACGCAGCCCATCCTTGGTGCACCTGTTGCATTGTGCTTTGTGAGCCGTGTGTGGGAGGAATTGCCTTTGGAACGTGTCACTGTTGTGCAACACACGGAGCCTCCACGCTCGATGGGAAGCCTGAGCTCCAAACTGAGCCTCAGTGATGGCAAACAGCCACTCACACCTTTGATACAGGTTCACCTTTTGGGTATGAAAAAACACCCCCTATGTGCCACACCCCACTGTAAAGGCAGAAATACTCGGAATATCCATAATTTGGGCCGAAATTTCTAAGCAGAGAGGAAGGAAAAAATCCCTAATTTCAACTGAAATTTCTAAGCAGGGGGGAAGAAAAACCCCCTTACACAGTGTGTTTAAAAGTTACATTTTGATAGGAAAGCAATAAAAGTTTAAATACCATTCAGTTGCCATAAAACGATCTAAAATGGAACCAATGGATCATATACAGGGTATTTATATGGGGGCACCTGATTTCATTGTCAAAGCAGTTTAAATAGCCCTTGCTATTTCTGAGGAATATGAGTGATGATCTCCTGCTCTATTTTTAGGAATAATGTGTTTCTCTTTATTTGGTTGCAGCTGGATGGATGCTATATGGAGCAGGAGGAATTACCCCGTCCTGGGCTGGTTTGGTCTGAGGGAACCAAAGGGAACAGTCTGAGGCTGTGCCAGTTGCCAGGGCTGATCTCTCTGCTCTGCTCTCTGGGGCAGCAGCTGGAGGGCTCGTCCAGTTTGGAATGTCTGCCCCCAGCTGTCTTCCCTCTGAGCCCACAGTGGGATATAACCGTGAAGTCAAACTGATTGGGTTTTTTCCAATTTATCCAGGCATTTCTACCCAGGATATGGTCAAGTTCTAGTTATTTCCAGGCTCATATATTAAAACTTGCACTTTTTAGCAACCTGATTCTGCCTGATGGAGTAAACCCAGTGAATCTTAGCTAAGAGCCTGTGCTGAAGCAGTAATTTGAGCAGACTTACATGGTAGTCAAGTAGTTGGTTTTTACTGAAATATGCTAGTTTTTGACAAGTTACAATGGGAAGAGTCAAAACTGTATTTGCGCTGCAAAAAATGCATTTGAAAATAATTTAGAATAAGTGATACCTGCCAAACATTATGCCCTAGAAGTCTGAAGAACTTTGATTTTCTTTAGGCACTAAAGTAGCCCTAGGTAGCTTCTTTTTCATGTGCTGTTTTCTCAAGATCTTTCCCTTTTGTTTCTGCTCCTTTTCACAGGATATGTGAGAGAGAGAATTCATCCTATGAGATTTATCTCCCTTTTTTCCCTTGCCAAAACTCTGTCTGCACCCAGATAGCCTTCAGACTTCCCCTGGTATGACTCACCTGAAACACATCCCTGTCTACAGCGCTCAGAAACTGGTTCCAAAACCAGTAAAACAAGCAAATTCAGGTTTCCTGTAGCTTCAGGTCCTACATTGTTTGCATCTCTGTCCTGGAGTACCTTCAGTCCTTCTCACACCTCTCGCCCTCCTTTTTGCTTTTGCCATCTGGGTAAATGTCAGCTGGGCTTTAGAATCCAAACCCCCTCCTGGCTCCCAAAGGAATGGGCAGCCACCGAGTTCTCCTGCTTCCCAAGGCGCTGGAAGGTGGCAGCTGGGACCTTCCAAACACGAGCCAGTTCAGGTCAGTGCTGCTGCTCCCTGGGCACCCTTTGCCTGGGCAGTGAAGTTTCATAACCCCAGGAGTGAAACCATCAGCCTTGTCTCCAGGAATGGTAAAATGTTGCTGCCATCCATCTGTTTTCTCCTCAGGCACATTTGGCAGCCAAGGGAATAACCCTGGATGTTGGTTACCAGGCTGTTTCTTTCCTAAGTGGGTCAATATCAGTGCTGAAAAAGAGCAAAAATTGATTTCTAATTTAAATTATATGCAGTTTTCCCTTTACAAAGCAAACCAATTTGAATGCCAAATTATTATAACTGCAACAAATCCCTAAGTTTTCAAAGAGCTCCTAAAATACTGTAGGTAAAATGGCATCATTTCATAGTTCATTCTTGCTGTTGGAGGTGTCAGTTCTAGTCACCTACACCTGTAAATTGTACAGCTGCTCTGTCCATGCTCTAATTTGGGATGTAATGAGTGGGTCCTCCTTGCTTCACTCCCTGGGAACTGAACATCACAAATCTGTCAGTCAGAAAGACCCAAAAGTTCCTGAGCATCAGTGGACTTTCTTCCCTCCATTGAACCCCCAGGCACACAGGGAACAAACGTTTCATTACAGACTTTTAATTACAGTGGGGAGTGTTCACAGAACAAAACTATAATAAAACCCCAAAACCCCCTGAAAGTTTGAATTCAGGCATGTCCATGGGCACAGATTTAGGGATGCCAGGGTTTAAACTTGACATTGATTTAAAGTGAAAAGTAGGAGGGGAGAACGTGAGTTAGAAGCAGTAGTTGATACAACCTGGAGCTGTTTGCAGGAGGTGTTAACAGGATGGATTTTTTTGTGTCCAGGTCCAGTGGAGCTGGTGGTCCTTGTGTTCCTCAGGAGTGAGAAGTGGTGTGGCCAAACTGGTAAGTGAACAATTTAATTGCCTTTTTTAGAAGTGAGAGGGGCCAACAAGTAGAAATATTAAACCAACTTAAGGACATTAGTAACTCCAAGTGTCCAACCCTCAGCCTCTGAGTGGGCAGAGAGGAAAGGACTGTGCAGGGCTCAGGGAGGAGGTTATCCAGGAACATGGAATGGTTGAGCTTGTTGCATCTCTCGACACTGTGTCAGTCAGATGTAACATTAACTGTGGATTGTCTTTTAGATTCTGAGAAGGCCAGCCTGACTGGGGGGCAGATGGCAGTCCCTTCATTCTCTTGTTTTACCTTTTCCACCCACATGCTGCATTTCTGTTGATCAGCTGAGTGATTTTGTCCCAGCATCCCACCGCTGCTCTTGAAAAGGAGTCCTGCAGGTGTTCAAGCAAGGACAAACCTGTGAGGCAAATCTGCTTCAATACCCAAGGCTCTGCAGCACAGGCATAAGCTGAAAACAAAGATTTACGGGGTTTTATCCTTCCAGATGCCTGAAACCTGGGGGTTTGTCCTCCCAGCTTAAAAGGAGGGACAGAATTCCAGCCACCCTCGCAATTTTAATCCATCCTTTAAAATTGCCACCTGAGACTAAATGTGGGGGTTCTTTTTCTGTGGGATCCTGCTGTGGAGTGAGAATACTGCATTTGGCCCATCACAGTTATTATCCTAGTCTAGAATATGCTGTGCTACCATATTATTTCTGTGTAAGATCAAGCAGAAGGTCAGAGTGGACAGAAAAAAAATCCACGTGGCCTTTGGCAGCACTGCCTGTGGAAATTCAGAAACACCCGTGGAATGCCTTTCTTCCCAACTTTGCTATAGGAAAACAGCTCATGAAAACCAAGCTTGCGAATTAAACTGATGAATATCTGCAAAATACTCCTACTTGTTGACAATTTTCATGTCAGAATTGTAAAATACTTCTCCAAAGAGCTAAAGGAAAGGGGGTTTTGCAGTAGTGTCACTACTGGAGAGTGTGTTTTCCTCTTGCTTGTTAATTTGACTTGCTCAGGGAATCTGGAACTCCCTTCCTGTTTCCCTCCAAGACCTTTACTCACTTCCTGTCTCTAAATAAAACCCCTTTCATTTGTCCTTAATTGATGATAGAAACTCTTCCAAGTTTTCTGATAAAATCAGCTGAATTATATATAGACTTTACCTCCTTGTAGATGACCAAAAATCCCCTTAGTTAGATATTTTAAAATCAATTTCAGTGCTGTGTCTAGCTCAGAGTTTTCCAAGTTTTTAAAGGTACCTTGTTGCCTTAGGGTATATTTTAATGGAATTTTAAAAATCCATTTTCTAGTTTACCCGAGACACGCAAAAAGTAGATTGGCTGGTGAAATTGTAAAGACTTTATTCAATCAAAATATTTTTATTTGCTATCCATCCATCCATCCTGCTGCTGCTGCTGTAACATCCCTTATATCGCTGTAAAAAGGGCTGACTTGAAAATATAAATGGATAATTTGTCAATAGAACATACAAAATCTGAGGGGCAAAGGAGACCTCACAGGTTGTCAAGTGCTTGTTCACCTGCTGGGGAAATTCATCTCTCTAGGGGTAACAGTGATGTGTTCATAAAAATACTCTGCACATTCCTTCTAGTAATTTCTAGTAGAGATAGGGAATATTGATGTCTTTGTACGTTCCTGGGAAAAAAAAATCTCATCTGGAATTTCCTGTGCCTGGACTGAGAGTGGATTGGGTGCAGGGAAGGGCTGTTGGAGGAGCAAGGGAAAAGGTGACAGCACCAGCTTCTCCAGCCTTGGCTTAGGAAAGCAAGGGCTGGATAAAGTGTATTCTTAGAAATGAACATTCAGAGAAAAGAACAATTTAAATTAACGGGAGAAGTGGTAAGAGGACGTACACTGGCCTTGAGCCAACTAAGACTGGAAGTTGGAAGGAGGTCTCCAGTTCTGTAGAAAATGAGGTATTTTAGAAGGGCAGCAACAAATATTTGGGTGCAGACAGCTCGTGCAAAGATTCTGGTATGTTCTCCTGAGACAAGAGAGCCTCGGTGCTGGGGCCCCACCGAGCCCCTCCACTGTGTGTTGCCATCCTGTTCCTCAGACAGTGAGTGCAGCTGGAGATTGACCCCCAATTCCATGCCAGAGACTCTTCCCATCCCTGCATCCATCCCTGCATCCACTGCATCCTTCATGGCAGAAGTGAAGTGACAGGAGAGCTGCTTTTCCTTCACTTCTCGTGTCTCACTGAACGTGCAGCTGCTTGCTCTGACTGTTTCCATGAACTAATATCTTTATACAGGCATATGTGGGAGAATAAATCATCTGTGGGTTAAAACCCCGTAATAATGTTGGAGGAGTGTTAAATATAGCATTATAAGGCCTTTTGGTCTTATCGTGGCAGCTGTGTGGGTGGAAACTGCACCCAAAGAGATGCTATTTTAGTTAAATTAAGTGTTACCCTCAGGGCTTTGGCCAATGTTCCATCTCCAGCAGAAAGCTGGAGACCACAGCAGTCTGACAGGAGCCAACTTGGCAGGAGCCAAGTTTTCTCCTCTCCCTCTCCTCTTTCCATTGCTCTTTCCTTTTCCCTTTCCTCTTTCCTTTCCTTTTTCCATTCCTCTTTCATTATTCCTTTCAGTTCCTCTTTTCCTTACATCTTTTCTCTTTCCTTTCTCCTCTTTCCTCTCCTTTCCTTTCCCTTCCTTTTTCCTTTCCCTTCCATTCTTTCCCGCAGAAGTTGCACGATTTAAATGCAGACTTAAAGAGATGATGAGATCTGCTCGGGGGAGGCCCTACACTAACACGGGTGGTTAAACAACTTCGTCTCTTCTGACAATGCCTCCTCTCTGTTCTTTTTTCAGACTCGGGAAGGTTTTTGCATCATGTTTTGGTTAAACTCCCACTGCGCTCGGAGGAAGGCGCTGGCTGACTCCGCTTCCCACCCCAGGGGACGGTCCTGCCCGCGGTGATGGGCGCGATGCCCGAGGAGCGGGATCGGGATCGGGATGGGGACGGCGCCTCTCCCTCCCTCGGCCCCGCAGTGCGGAGACGCCCGGGACGCCTTCGGTCACATCCAGGGTGAGCGAACCCGAGTGCGGGTGGCTCGGGGCCCCGCACCCTCCGTCCCCGGAGCCCGGCCATCCCCTCCCCTTTGGGAAATCGCCGAGTGCTTCTGGCCGCCGTTCAGAGGCAGCAAAAGAAGAGTAAACGGCGCCGTTGCGGGCGGAGGGGTTCGGTGACTGCCCCGCGGTGCGGGCGCGGCGGGACCCCCTCTGGTCGTGCCCCCCCCCGGGCCGTGCCCCCGCCCCGCCCGCGCCGAACTTTCCCCGAGTTGGGCGGCCCCGCCCCGGGGCTCGCGCCACGCCCGATGCATATTCATGAGGGGCCGCGCCCGCCGCCGCTCCCCATTGGCGGCCGCGCTGCCCCCGCCGCTGCCATTGGGCGGTGCCGCCGTCGCTCGGCGCGCGGGGCGGGGCGGCCGCGCCCGCGGTGACTCACAGGGCGGAGTGCGGGTCCCGCAGCGGCGGCGGCAGCGCAGCCCGCGCCTCCCCCACCGCGCCGCTCATTGTTCCGCCCGCTCCAGGCACCATGGACGAGCTGGACCAGTCGCCCCTGGTCTCCTCCTCCTCCTCCGGGCCAGCCCGGCCGCAGCAGCCACAGTTTAACTACCAGTTTGTGCTCGACGACGAGAAGGAGGAGGAGGAAGAAGAGGAGGAAGAGGAAGACGAGGACGAAGACTTCGACGAGCAGCTGGAGGTGATGGAGAGGAAGCCCGTCGCGGCTCCCGCCGCAGCCCCGCAGGAGCGGCCGCCGCAGCTGCTGGACCTCGGCGGTCCCGCCGAGCCGCCCCGCCCCGCAGCCCCGGAGCCGCCGCAGCCCGACTGGAGCCCCCGGGGAGCCGTGTCCTCTTCTTCCTCCTCCGCCACCACGCCGTCCCCCGCGCAGGAGCAGCCCCCGGCCCCCGCCCGGCCCCTGCCCAAGCCCGAGCCCGCGCCCGCCGCCGCCCCCCGCAGAAGAGGGTCCTCGTCCGGCTCGGCTGGTGAGTGCCCCCGCCCCGGGGCCGGGAGGGCGGTGGCCGGGCTGGGGAGCCTCCGCCCGAGCCGCTCCGGTTCCCGAGCCCCGCTGCCCCGCCGGGAGGTTCCCTTTGTCTGCCGGCCCTCGGCCGCCTCCTGCGGCATCGCTCCCTCCCCTCCGCCGCGCTCGGGCGCGGCCCCGCTCCCCGCGGCCCCGCCGCAGCTCATGCGGGAAAAAGAGCTCCCCCTTCCCTTTCTTTCTTTTATTTTTTTTTTTTATTGTAATTTCTTCTCTTTCCCTCCTCCTCCCGTCTGTGTTATGCTAATGGCGGGAGGGGGAAGCGCCGCCCCGGCCGCCGCCTCGCACATGGGCCGCCCGGGGGCGAGGCCGCCGCCGCCGCCTGGCAACGGCCGCGTCGCGGGGGGAGCGGGGGGCGAGCCGGGTACCGAGCCGGGTACCGGCCGAGCCCGGGGGTACCGGCCGAGCCCGAGGCACCGCGGAACCCGGCGGTACCGGCCGAGCCCCGAGGGGACCGGGCGTGGGGTCCGCGCGGCTCCGGCCGGCTCTGCCCCGGCGCACAGCCCGCCCCTCCCGCGCCGCATTGTCCCGGGCACGGTTCCCCCGGCCGGCCCGGCACTGCGGGCCTGGGCGTGGGAGCGCGGGGGAGGAGGGGAGCGCAGATACTTGTAATCTTACTCATGTTGAACGCAGCGGCCGCAGGGAGGGGCGAGGCGGGGGACTGCGGAGCGGCCGCCTGCCCTCCACCTGCCCGGCACGGCCCCGCGGCCGCAGCCCGCGTGGGGACGCCGCGCCCCGGCCGCGGACTGTGGGGCCGAACCCCGGAGAGGGAACTCGTAAACTCGTGAGGAATGTGTGGCAGCACAAAAGGCGCCCGGGCTGCTCGCTGGTGTAGGTGTGGCAGCCCTGGAGAAGAATGTCAACCCCCCGCCCTGGATGGCCACGGCTCTCACCTGGGGCTTCTCCAAGGCGTCGCCCCGTAATGTGGGGGAGTTCAGAGTTGTGTAGCGGGGGGGAATGCCGCCCCCCAACAATTCCTAGTGCCGCTGGAATGCCAGAGCCCTTCTGGCAAGGTCTAATCCAGGAGCTGACCCGCATGACTAATGCCTTGCATGCGGATTCCGAGTGTGCTTTGGCTCTGCTTCTGCTTAATTCAAAGTGCGAGAGCTGACTCGAGGCCATTAAAACAGTGAAAAGGAACAAATCGAAGTGCCTCGTGATCACAGTGGTGTGTGCTCACCTTCATTGCTGCCCTGGCATTGCTGTGTTGTAAAGATGCAGGATTTCAGTAATAACTTAGCATCGTAGTATGAGGGGGCATGATACTCAAGATCTAATCAAGAAAAGCATCTGGAACAATGATAAAAAAAAAAGGCCTGTTAAACCCGAATTCAGTTTTGTCAGGGGGAGTTTCACAATGCCTTTTATTTGCATGTGTGACAGGAGTTCCTGGCTAGTTGTGCTGTTGTCTCTCACGAAGCCTGGTTTTTTGTTCCTCCGGAAGCTCGAGGTGTAGCAATACGCTGAGGAGATTAATTTTTTTTTCTTGTTTCCACCATTTGGAGGACAGATGATGACAAAAGCTTGCAACAGACTGAAGAGGAGGGATTCTGTGTGATGAGTGAACAGAATTTTTTTCTGGCCACGTTCTTTGAGTGGAGCTCTGGGTGGTTTAAGCAGAACTGAATGGAAGAAATAAGATCAACCACATCATGTTGCTTTGAAAAGTAGGGGAAAAAAGTGTGTTTTCTGGAGGTGATTTGCTTTTCTGCTCTCTGACCCCTGAAGGATAAGGCAAAAAGAGCACAGTAATTCCGGAAATAGCTATTGGTTAGAGTAGAGGAGACCTGACTGTGAGAACTGCATCGGGTAGCTGAGAGTGGTATCAAAGAGTTATTTTAATGTGTCAGCGATGATTAATTTAGGGCTGAAGTGAGGACTGGCATCTGGGGGAGGCCTGGTTTCCAAAGACAAGGTGTTGTAACACAATGCTCCTCTAATGAGGAGTTGAAACGTTAGAGGCTGTGTACCTGAAACTCCTGGATGAGAGCATGGGCAGGTCATCTCCTGAACACTTTGGCCCTCTCAGATGCAGGAGTGTCCATTTAAACATCGGGTGTTTGTTGGTTTTGCATTTAGCAGTTGGTGTTAAAACGGTCTGAGGCAAAATATTTGGCTTGGCTTCAAGTGAGTTCCCTTTGAGTCATGTTGGGAAATGGGCAAAAGGAATTTTCTGCCTGCAACTGGTGGCAGGGTGACCGTGGCAGGGACAGCCACGTGGCCGGGGTGGTTCCCTCTGCAGAGTTATGGTTTCATTTACTTTGAGCTTTGAGAATAGTGGGGCTTCTTTGATCTGCAACAATTGGCCCTGCTGCTGCTTTTTGTCAGTGTAACAATAGCAAAAATGAATTGCCTGGGCGATGGCCCGTTCAGATGTGTTTTATATATACATGGGGGTGTTTTGAAAAAGAAAACCCCTGTAATTGCTATTAGTTACACACTTAGGAGGATTCGGTATCATTGTTATAAGAGACTGGGACATAATTATATGTGATGCCAGTCCTTGGCAGGGTAACAGCAGCCTCCCTCCAGAAGGGCTAACATAAATATTTGCAGGAGAGGAAAACAAGCAGGAGCACTGCAGTCAGACCTAGGCTGTCCTGGGTGCTTTCAGGTTCTTTGGTACTGTTTTGGGGGTACCAAAACCTACAGTCCTTCTAGAGACATTGCTACTTAAATCTTTGGATTACTTGACTGTACATACAGTGCAAAGGAGGGTCAGTCTGAGGTAGTTGTACGTGGTCAAAGCAATGCCCCCTCTTTTTTTTTTTTATTTTTTGGCTTGCTGCCCAAAGTAAGAATAACCACTGTACTATGATGAGTAGATACCACTTCCCTTCTAGATCCTGCAGCACTAAATCCTGCTTTTAAAGGGAGGTCATACATCACTTTCCTGGAAGAGACTGTTGTGTTTGGAAGTTACACTGCACTTACAAGAAGCTGTATACAAAAGCCACCAGCCTGGCCCGGGGCCAGCATGCAGAGAGAATAAAGATGTTTCCTTGTGTCTCACTTGCCTGCACTGACCTCGGGTAAATACACATGCAAATGCCGTGAAGGGCCAGCTTGTTCATTAGTCTTGGGTTTCCATTTGATTGTGGGGGGGTTTTTTCTTTAATTCCTCCATGTTGAGGAGAGCTTTCAGGAGGGGGGTGTGCTTACGAGCCAGACAGTGTCAAACGCAGGTCAGCAGAGCTGCCTGGAGCTGTCCTGTGCCCTGGCCAAGCTGAGCTGCAGGAGGTGCTGATGAAACGCAGGGATCTATCCCTGCCTCTGCTCACCCCACACACTGACCCTTTTTCCCTGCACGTCCTGGCATTTGTGTTTTGTACAAATTCTAAAGCAGCACATTCACCCCTCGGATTTTCTTGCTGCTCTGTGTGCATGGACTTGGACAGAGGAGTGTGTGGATTTTAAGGACATGATGCAGCATGACTTGGAAAAAATCCATAGCTGTCCTTGAATGCTACCAGTGGTGACTTTCATCTGCACTCTTCATTGATTAAAATATGTTCCCACCAGTCTTCAGCATCTCTCTGAGGTGCAAGACCCTTTCTCTTCCCAGATATACCTGTTAAAGCTCTAAGGAAGGTGGTCACAAACTGAGTTAGATAGAAGGTGATTTTTTATATATATATATATATATATTAGAAGGAGGAGAGTAATCAGCCATTTGACTGGTACAGTAAAGCTGGTATCTTCATTTTCATGTTTCATGTTCCCATCTAGGTGAGTTCAACAAGGGATCGAGTTATCTCTTCAGTTTTATTCAATGTCCTGTGCAGTGTCCAGCACTGGGCCTGTGTCTGTAGTGGAGCTGCTGTAAGAGTTTCAGGAGCCAAACAGCTCCTCTGTTAAGCAGGAGTGTGTGCAGGGACAGTGCTGCCAAGTTCATGGGACGTTTGCTTCATGTGTGTAGCCCTTGACTTGCTCTCCAGGATAAAACCACACAGCTTCCACCCACCCTGTAATGATACAGCCCTCAGGGAAGCTGGGAATTGCACTGGGACTTTTCCCCT